GGGGACTACACGTTTGCGAGCCGAGACGCTTAGTGGTGGTAGTAGTAGTAGTAGTAGTAGTAGTAGTAGTAGTAGTAGTACTAGTACTAGTACTAGTACTAGTACTAGTAGCAGCAGTGGCAGTAGCAGTAGTAGCAGTAGTAGCAGTAGCTTGCTTTTTGGTAATGTTAGCATAGCCAAAGTTACCTTCAGTACAAGTAGCTCAGGCAAGCAGAAAGCCATCCCAGCCGAGCATCCAATTGCCCTTGGATTGTAAACTTCACCATCATAGACGGAGTCCTGCGTCACCTCAAGAGAAAAGACTGACGTTAACTGGCGATGGCGACTCCAAGCGACTTAGCAGGCCCGGCCGATATGCGGAGAGGGTGGAAGGGGAGAGGGAGAAGAGAGAGATGCATGCATCCATCCTACCTACATGTGCCTACATCTATGTCACACCACGAGTAGCCCAGCATGTCCCTTGGCTTCCAGGGCGCTGGGCCCTGACGCCGGCGCCAGGCCCCGGGCGTGCCGGTGTGGAAGGCAAGTCGCCTCAGCTCAGAGCAGAAACCCGTCCCTGAACCCTACACCTTAAACCCTAAACCCCAAACCCTAAACCCTTAGAACTCGGAGCTCAGGCCGAGTAGCCCGTTGATCCGCAGCTGTAGGCGAAAAATCTTCGGGACCGTGTCCTGGGAGCCTTCGGGAACTGGGTCCTTGTAGCTCGGAAATCGGCCCTTCGGGTCGCACCTCGAAGGGAAATTCGCGGAAGGCTGGGTTTAGGGTTTTTTTTTGAGCACGGGTTTAGGGTTTAGGGTTTAGGGAGGGCAGCCCTGAAACTCTCCGGGTCCCTGCCTGTACCCACACCCCAGGGCCACGAAGAGATTTCCACCGGCTGTGGCATTCAGCAATTTCGTCACCTCGTAGCTTCGATAAAGGACACGCCGGTCGGTTCTGGTCCACCCGGCGTAGGACAGAATATCCTCGGAGCTCTGAAAAATGCGCAAAACACACCAACTCGCGGCTCTCAGTTGGCGCCTGGGACACGTCCTGCCCGTTGATCTGCACGTACCCGAAGCCCAATGTTGTGACCAGCAGCCTTGGCAGCTTCGCACAACTACCCGCTCCCATTTTATACACATATATATATATATATATCATTGCATCCACATGCAGCTTCGCAACTCCACCTGATCAGACTGGCTCCCGGAAAGATCAAACTGCGCTTCGTACTCGTTGGTGTCGTTGGCTCCCATCCATGGAACGCCCTGACCCATCGCTAAGCACACACAAGGAGGAGCAAGATGTAAGACAGCGACAAGGCCCCAGCTGTCCAGACATCGCCGCCACTATCTGCTACCAGGACATCGGAAGACGCTGGATCAGAGACCTTTTAGCATGTGATGCCACACATACATGCTCAGAGAGCACAGCACACGCAGCGGTCAAAAGGCCTCACCATCAGTGCTGAACCACTGTACCTGCATGAAAAGAGAAACCGCCATGATGCCGTATTCATTGCGATGTAGCCATGACAGTTGCAAGCCTGCGATCCAGAGCAACTTGTACATGTAACTGAGATACTAGCTTTCCCCCCCCCCTGCCTGCCACTGATATCTTCCCGGCAGCAGCTGCACTTCAGCGACAGGCAGCCTGCAAGAGCGCGTGACTCGACACGACCCACAGAAAAGCAAGCGACAGGTGCTCTGTGCTCTGTGTACTCTATACACTTGGAGGCCAAGGCGCTGTGTGGTAAATGTGCGGTTGAACACTTCATGGCCACGCCGAGATACATGAAGCCAGAAACCTTGCATGACCACACCACGCCTGGCCGAGTAAGACAGCTTTCACAAGCATCAGTCGCTTCCAGCGGTCGACACTCTCTCTCCAGCATGCCAATATCAAATTCTCCAAGACGCCGCTCTCCAATGATAGGAGCGAAAGTAAAGCGGACTGGAGAAGAGGAGGGGTGTGCCTTGCATTCTGGCGGTCTGGGCCTTGGGGGTTGAAGCTTACAGCTACTGGGATTTGTCTTTCTGTGCACCGAGAAGATTCGTCTGCACACACAGCCCGGAACACTTATCGGCAAGGCACATTTCCACTTCGAATCGATTCACTGCCCAGCTGCACACTAACGGTCACTAAGGGCTGCATCAGCCTGCTTCAGTCAAAGCGCGAAGCCACCATGCGGCTGAAGTCTCTCCAGGCTGAGACGTGGCCCATCCTGTCCTGCGCGACATTCGCGCGACAGCTGGGATCAAACCTTCGGCCTGCGCTGCCCCCACCTCGTCCAAAGGCTGAGCACAAAACCAACACAGCGGCCCACCACATGTTTGCCATGACCGCCTAGTGATTGAACACACCTGTCGTACGGCAACAGATACATCCTACTTTCCTGCTCCAGCAGGCTGCGCAGTGAAAATCTGAAGCAGTGTCCACAAAACTTCTTGCAACCAAAACTTCTCGTCTAAACTCGAACCGGCCCGGCGGAGTTCGCAAAGTTCTCTGTCCACAATCCCCATGCAAGCAAAATTCTGTGTTCACATCTTAGTTCGATACATCACTCATGGTCTAGCTACTTCGTAAACACAACCGATCGAGAAGAACTCACAATTGCCATGAGGTCGTTCTGCGACTCTGAGCGAAGAAGATCTAGGATCTAGAACAAGGCTGTAGAGGTAGCAGTGCACTCACATCCGAAGCAGCCCTGGGTCAAGACGTGAAACCTTAACTTGACACATTCAGAGACCCTGCAGCAAAACCATGCAGCAAGCAACGAACTTTGTTTCAGCCGTCGATGTCAGCAAGGCTTCTCCGCGAGCTGGAAACCTGATCTTTCTCCGGGACAGGCTGGGCTTCACAAGGTGTCTGTGGACCATCAAAAGGCTTCCTCTTAAGACACGCAGGAGCTTCCATTGCGCTTTCACCTTCATCCACACTGCTGCCCCTCCGACGATCCAGGCCCCGGCAAGGCGGGAGCCAGGAAATAGCACCGTCCCGGAGAACTCCTCACTCGGGGAGGTTTGCATAAACACGCACCTTTGGATTAGCCTATACGAACATTACTAAATAAGCCCAAAGGGACCGCGTATGCCGGATCATGCCCAGTATAATTCAAGATTTATACGGAAACCCGGCCCGGAACAGAGATGCTGTGGTCTGATCTCTGATCTCTGATTCAGTATAATTCAGTATTTAATACTGAACCATATGGTGGATATGAGCATCATATTGTCACATACTATATGTTGTTAGTTTATGATCTATACCTAGCTCGGTATTAGCATGATAGGTGCACGTTCTAGAATACCAACCATGTATATATTATAGAATACCCTGTACAATTGTATACCTGATATATACCCTTGAGAACCCCCTTGGAATACCCGAAAGAGAACCTGTAACCTATGGATCAGGATTTATGTAGAAGACATCAGGAGGAGCCCAACTTGCAGCTTATTGAGCAAGGGATTTCTATGAAAGAAATGATGAATAGAGGAGAATAGCCTGCAGAATACCTTACAGAATACCCTTTCTACAAAACATAAAAAAGTTCATGTAAATTACGGAAATACCTTATAGAATACCCCCATACACCTTGTATATCGAAAATCTGCGAGTTCCCCAGTTGAATTGCAGTTTGCTGGGTAAAGGGCTCATATGATGGACATGCGCAATCTAAGATCTAGGAGCTCCTTGAACAAATCGAAGCTTATCTAGTATATAAGGGATACATATAGAGAACAAAATCCTCATAAAACACCCCTTACACATACCCTAGAAAATACCTTCTACGACACCTTGTGGAATAACCTGTAGAATACCTTTAGACTAGACTGCTTTATAGAATGCTTAATAGATTTCCACCAAGATACCCTATGCCTTAGAGAAGACCATCTGGAATATCCTGTAGAATACCGTATAGAAGACTGCCTACATAGGATACATCCTGTGTACCTTATGCATGCCATATAGAAAACCCATAGAATACCTTTTTGGATACCCTTTAGATTCCCCCATAGCATACCTTAGAAAGTAGCCTATACTGCAGATAAGGACTTTAAATATGGAAAACCAGTCGGAGCCCAAGATCTGAGAAGTCCCCAGTTGAATTGTAGCTTTTGGGTAAGAGATCAAGAACCAAAAAGAATAGCCTGACAACTACCTGGTAGAATACCACCTCTACAAACTTTAAAGAATTTCATACAGAATGCCCTATAGAATACCTCCCGCAAAAGAGGCTACATAATACCTTTTGTACAATACATTCTGGAGTACCATAGTAAATACCTTATAGAATGCCCTGTAGAATTTATCTGGAATACCCTGAAGTAGAATACCCTACAGAGGACCGCCTATGTAATGCACCCTCTGTATACCTCAAGTATGTTTCATAGAATATCCTCTAGAACACCTTTTAAGATACCCTCTAGAATACCTTATAAACTACCCTGGAGCATGCCCCACAGATAACGACTTAAATAAGGAATATCATCATCAAAAGCCAACCGTTCACGTTGTATACAGAGGACAATAGACAATACTTTTTGACATTATCTTGGTTTGAACGGTTTTTGTGTGGTCGTAGGCAGGGAATACTGAGCAATACTTAGTATCATCAGCTTGGTTTGAACGGTGTGGTGTCGTCGTAGACAGGGAACACTAAGAAATACGTATTATCTTTATCTTGGTTTGGACGGGTTTTTTAAGGTCGTACTAGGCAATACGTAGTATAATCATCCTGGATTGAGCGATGTGGTGTTGTCGTAGACAGGGCATACCAGAAAATACTTACTGTCACTACTGTTTCATATAAGACTTGTGTTCGGAGTAGAGTCGTAACGTAGTCTAGAAAGTACAACAGGAGGCTTTGAGGTAGGTTTCAGAAGGGGGGTAGCATATATGTATATATATATATATATATACAATTTATGTATCATATACATATATATATATATGTATATATGAGCTCATGTATACAACCACGTCTCCATGCATATATGCATATTATAGATCATAAGCGAATCATAGGTGCCTGTATGTATGCGCCCAGGTTCAGGGTTGTAGGCTCTGGCTTCTGGGCCGAGGGGTCTCGGTTTTCTCTTCCCCCGTTGTCCTCCGTCCACTCCTCACCAAACATTTTGGCGAAGACCTTCAACGCCTCCAAGGCGAAGCTTAGCAGAGCCCCTAAACCCTAAACCCTAAACCCTAACAAACCCTAAACCCTAACAGCCACAGCAATCTACGCACAGGCGCGTGACGAAGAGCACAAGACAGCAAAGCCCGGTCGCGCCGGGTCTCGCTCTGCATGCCAGGTGTCGTAAGCGTCCTGCCTCTCCTGGTAATTTAGGGTTTTGGGTTTAGGGTTTAGGGAGCATTTTGTGGCAGGAGCCCGGTATCAAGTGTAAGGATAACCGCAAAAAAAGTTCCATCCGCCTGTGCTTGCACAGAGCGTACTTCATCGACGACGGGGCTGTCCGACAGCACTGCTCGGTACCTGGGGTGCCGGCGACAAAGCAGAGTGGCAATCGCTCATTTGCAAACCGGCAGAAGCATGTTCTTTTTATTGCATGGGTGCAACGCTGCTAGATGCACGCCATGGGGATGCAAAGCTACATTGAAATCTGCAGCTCGTGACACGGCATGCGATGTCCCTTGGCCGACGTCTGGATTGCGGAATCCAAACCAAAATTAAGGAAATATGCTCGCAGCTTGGTCAGCTCTCCTCGACGAGATTCAACGACAGAGCTGACGTCTGACCAAAGCCAGGAGCCCCATTCAATCAGTGGTGGCTCTTTGAAAAATATGGGTCGGACCCGAGACGTCGTGTCGGTCCTTCGGAGCTTTCGATAATTACATGAGTCCCTGCTCAAGTCCGACCCGAAATCATTGAATTCTGATGTGGCGGCCGTGCGAAAGAGGTCGCAGCATGCTCCTCTGCATGCCCTAAACCCTAAACCATAAACCCTGAACCCTCAACCCTAAACCCTAAACCTGCATGTTAAGATGCCTTCTCAGAAATCTCCGCATCGACATTTTCCAACGCGGACAACGAAGTCGAACCCAAATCCGGCCCTGTCGGGAGAACCTCGGACTTCTGGGAGTTTCCGAAAATACTTGGAGGTTCATGGGTAGTTATAAGTAGGGTTATACGTCCCCGAATATGGGTTATAATTATAGTTAGCTTACTTATAACCCCACTTATAACTACCCATGAACCTCCAAGTAGGGGACCCTAATACAGTACCCTAAATAGTAGGATCTTTATCATAAGGACCCCTAAATAAGGTACCTCCTAATTTTCGGAAACTCCCATATGGCATCTACGACGGAGACCTCCAAGTGCCAGTGAGATCGAATCGACAAACGAAAGAAAGCCCAGATCTGGGGCTCCGCGCATTCTCCTTCCCGTCGTCGGCTTCGTTTGGGTTGCTTTGCAGGCTGTGTAGGCTCTCGGTCGGCCTGGGCCAGAACGGGGGTGCTTTCCTCATAAAAAACTCGTGTTCCCGGAGGAGGCTTCGGGCTACAAGCTGCCTTGGGTTCAGGGTTTAGGGTTTAGGGTTTAGGGTTTAGGGTTTAGGGTTTAGGGTTTAGGGTTTAGGGTTTAGGGTTTAGGGTTTAGGGCCTCTGTCTGGCGTATACTGAGCTAACCGAAGCAGCAGCAGTAGGTGCCGGGCAGGGGCGCAGTCTCCTGAGAAGCCGCGAACAAAGCCAGGGCCTGCAAAGCGGGAATCGGCTCATGAGAGAAGCACTTTGTTTCTTGGGCCCAATACATGGGTAGTGTTCTAAATTAGGGTCCCCTTTGGGGTCCTTTTAATAAGGGTGCCGTACTATATTGGCGACCTAAAAAGGGACCCTCATTTAGAGAACTACCCACATGTAGCTTGATTCAGAAAGCCACACCAATAAGACGGTCCTCTTCAGCTGTCTCCGCCACTTGATGGTCGCTGTGGCGCCGTAGGGCAACACGACGCAAAGACATGGCCTCCAACCCATTCCAACGCATTTTAAGCATCTTTCTCTTGCACGGTGCCATAGTGTTTAGGGTTTATAGGCTTTAGGGTCCTGTTACTGTCTGGTCGTTCTTTGCAATTCTGGTGGCTGGGCGGGCGAACATCTCAAGCATGATCAACACCACAAAGAGAAGCCTGGGCATCAAGGCCTTACAGTGAAGAAACCGAGAGAAAGATCATCCGAGAAAGCATGACCTCTTAGCAGGTAGCTTTGAAACTGCTACCCGCATGATGTAAAGCATGGCATTTAGTCTGTCAACTTCATGAACCAGTTTCCTAGGACCAGAAAAACAAGCAGCAGGACATAGCCTAGCTACTCCAGCTACAGTCGTATTTACCAACAACCGCACCCAAATCCCTCAACCTCGGTAAGCCTGCCCTCCATTCAGGCACCTTTGTACGTGCTCTGCTAGCAACCCTAAACCCTAAACCCTGAAGCCTAAACCCCTAAAGCCCCAAACCCCTAAACCCTAAAGCCCTAAACCCTAAACCCTACACCCCTAAACCCCTAAACCCTAAACCCGTTCTGTCGGCCTTCGCCTTTGGCGAAACCACGGGAGCTCGGAACCGCTTCATCGCAACAGCCGCCTTGCCAGCTGCTGAGACCTGGAGTCAAGTCTTTTTTAGGGTTTAGCGTTTAGGGTTTAGGGTTTAGGGTTTAGGGTTTAGGGTCCCAGAGAAATACCCTGTAAAATACGGAAGAGACCTTAGGGTTTAGGGTTCAGGGTTTAGGGTCCCATAAATTAAGGTATACCCCTTAATTAAGGAATATGCCTTAAATTATAGGGGCCTTCATACTATGGTTTAAGGTATATTCCTTAATTAAGGCGTATTGGGCTCTCTGGGTCAGTGTGCAATTAATTGCAGGTCCTTGTTCGGTATGCCCACTTTGTAGTGTTGGGCAAAAGCTGGGCACTGGTCGACTCTAGTCTAGTCTGATGCACCCCCTAACACAACATAGAGTCATAGAGGTCCAAATGCACCCACCAGTTCTGCACGCTTGTCCGCGTGAGCCTCCTCTGCAAACACTGCATCAGAGAACCAATCCAGCATTCGACAAGCACCGCTGCCCCGAGGACTGTACTTGGAGGGTCGGGAGACTTGGTAAGTAGGTAATAAGTAGACGTATAAGTACCCTAGAAAAGGACCCTAGTTGGGGTAAAAAGTACTTATAAGTCTATAAAATAACAATTTACTAAGTCCCCGACCCTCCAGGTACTTAAAGGATCATGGGACTTAGTAAGTAGGGTTATAACTAAGGTAACTATAATTATAGCCCCAATTAGGGGACTTATAACCACACTTACTAAGTCCCATGATCCTCCAAGTACTCCCTCCCTCTCCTGAACCCCAGAGAGCCGGGCTGTCACGGCGGGTGCGTCCTGCGGCGATGCAGGTACTTGGGAGATTGGAAGCATGGCAAGGCATGGCATTAGGGTTTAGGGTTTAGGGTTTAGGGTTGAGGGTTGAGGGTTTAGGGTTTAGGGTTTAGGGTTTAGGGTTACGGTCTAGGGTTTAGGGTTTAGGGTTATCAAGCCGACTTCTCCGAACAACCAGAGGCCTGGGAATGGTTCGAGTTCTTTGAAAATCCTTGGGGTTCAGGCCCCTCTCTGAAGGACCCAGAGAACCCAATAGCCCTTAAATAAGGAATATACCTTAAATTATAGGGGCCTTAATATTATGATTTAAGCTATATTCCTTAACCCTAAACCCTAAACCCTAAACTCCTTAATTAAGGGGTACTGGGCTTTCTGGGGACCATGCCAAAGAAGTCCTTCCGCTTCGTGGGAGAATCCTCCGGCTCCTGTCATGCTGCGCGGGCCAAAAACAAAATCTCTGGTTTAGGGTTTAGGGTTTAGGGTTTAGGGTTTAGGGTTTAGGGTTTAGGGTTTGGCCGGGCTCCGGCGAATCCTTACTTGGAGGATCATGGGACTTAGTATGGTTATAAGTCCCCTAATTGGGGTTATAAGTATAGTTACCTTAGTTATAACCCTACTTACTAAGTCCCATGATCCTTTAAGGGGCTCCGGTGAATCCTTATGGGGGTTTCCGAAAATAGGGGACACTAGTATGGTACCCTAAATAATAAGATCCTTATTATAACGACCCCCAAATGCGGTACCCCTTATTTGCGGAAACTCCCTTATGAATCCTTAAGAACCCAGAGACTCCAATATCCCTTAATTAAGGAATGTACCTTAAATCATATCAAGGATCCTACTATAATTTAAGGAATATTCCTTAATTAAGGAATATTGGAGTCTCTGGGAAGCTCCCTGACCGGACTCAGGAGGGCCTCCTCACCAAACTCTGCCATCTCCTGGTGGGCGTCGTCAGGAGTCTAATGCAGAAATGATCAGAGTGCTCGGATCATCTGGGGTTTAGGGTTTAGGGTTTAGGGTTTAGGGTTGAGGCTCTGCCAAAACGTCATTTCAGGCAAAGCCGAAGGCCCATACTTATTGCGCCGCTGCCAGTCACTGCTTTGCCTGCTCCTGCGCTTGGAGGGCTTTCGATGCCTGGCATTCAAAACGTCGTAAAGTGGATATGAATGCCACAGAACTCGCCGTTTCAACAGCTACTCTGTTGTATGGTGAAGGAGCAGTAGGCATTTGTGAGGGAACTTGCTTCGCAAGCTTTGCACTTGAAGCAATCGATCTTGTCGCGCTGCAAGCCGTCCAAAATGCCGTTGACGAGGCATTTGCAGACGCAACACTGAACCAGCAATGGCCAGCCCAATGCCGTGAAGACTAATTCAGGGGCGATGCCGGACAACAGCTACAGCAAGGCTTCCTGTCTATTGTGATATCTCGCAACGCGTTTTACCCACTCACCTGCAAACAAAGCCGACAGCATCACAAGTTCGGGGAACCCTGTGGATGTCCGCACATCTGATCGACGGATGGCCTCGTCCTCTTCCCTTTCCAGCCGGAGCTTCTCCTTCAGGATGGCCTTTGCTGAGTGATCTTCCGGAGTTTTTGACCGTTTTGGCGCTGCCAGTGCGCTTGGAGACTAACTGCCGGAAGATTTGGGAGTTTCAGAAAATTAGGGTACCTTATTTGGGGGTCCTTATACTAGGGATCCTATTATTTAGGGTACTATATTAGGGTCACTTATTTTCGGAACTCCCCGTTTGCCAACCTAAGCCATCTCAACCTCAGTCCCGTGATTCAGGCATGCGGGCGAAGGGGCCCGATCCACGTCAGACAAGGTGTCCATGAGTTCCCGGAACGGCACGTTGATGACCTGCGCGACAAAAGTGCAGGTTCACTTCACGCCGACCGTCGGCATTGAACTTTGTTAGACCGGTTTCATCGCTCCCTCAACCTAACACACCGACAGCAGAACCGTCTAAAGTTCTTTGGGGATAAGACCCAGTAAACCCTAAACCCTAAACCCTAAACCCCTATCCCCAGTATAACTCTGTTTGCATCGCCTGTGCCTTCGTTGTCACATGTTGTCACCAGCCCTGACGTGCAGGTGCGCCCTAGCATCATCAGCACCTCAAGCCTTTACTTAAAGGATCATGGGACTTAGTAAGTAGGGTTTAGGGTTTAGGGTTTAGGATTTAGGGTTTAGGGTTTGGGGTACTTAAAGGATCATGGNNGTAGGGTTATAACTAAGGTAACTGTAATTATAACCCCAATTAGGGGACTTATAACCATACTTACTAAGTCCCATGATCCTCCAAGTAGGCTTGCAAGGGCCCTGGCGACGCTGAGATGGAAAGGAAAAGCCTGCAGAATTCCCTGTACTTCTCTGGAGGGAAAGGTCGGCCGTGGCCCGTGCCTGGAGAAGTTCCGCATACGAGGCCTCTCGCAGAGCACGTCTTGGGGATCTGCAGAGTAAACGGAAGTTCAAGGGGCCAGTCCTTGAACTCCTGCCAGTCGATGAAGCCACTTTCGTCCTTATCGATCTCCTCAAACCTCAGGCTTGGAACATGCTCGGTGCGAGAGCTTTATTCCGCATGGCATGGCTTGGCTTTGGCGGTTGAACACTTCAAAACAATCCTGCGGAGAACCCCGCATCAGACTTTTGGCAAACCAGCAAGCATCTAAAGCCACAACCCAGACCACCGGGAGGATCTGAAAAGTAGATCCCCTAATTTGGGACCCCAACTACTAAAGGGTACTTTATACCAACCCCTTAGGGGGCCTATTTTTTGGATCCTCCCGGTGGTCTGGGAACCTCGGAGCTCGCCCTGGTAACGGTAAACCCAAGACTGGGGTCGATGCATCATCGAGATGGACTGATCGCTATGATTCTCAAAGAACTCTGCCAGGAGAGTCATGCTGTCAGCCCACTCCTGCTTTGGGCTTTCGGTCACCGGCACGGTAGCTTCGTTCCCTTCGCAGTGCTTCGTGAAAATCAGTTGGCAAGTGTAGGCTATGTGGGGGTTTCCTAAAATAGGGGACCCTAATATAGTACCCTAAATACTAGGATCCTTATTATAAGGACCCCCAAAATAAGGCAACCCTAGTTTTCGGAAACTCCCATGTGGCAGGCCTCTGGGTGGATCATGCCGTCCTTGCAGCCAGAAAGAGCAGGGCGTCACTCGGGTGTTTAGGGTTTAGGGTTTAGGGTTTAGGGTTTAGGGTTTAGGGTTTAGGGTTTAGGGTTTAGGGTTTAGGGTTTAGGGTTTAGGGTTTAGGGCACAGAGGGTGCGCCAAAGAAGAGAGGCTGCAGGCTTCTAATGTTCGCGGTCCTGGTTGACATCGAAGAAACTGAAGAGACGCTGTAGGCACTGCCTTCAAAACATGGCAGGGCAGAGTCATGCTGAAAGCTCATGAAGCCCTCACCCGACCAATTCTGCAAGGCCCCCACTCGACAAGCTGTGCTTTTCGGCGTTCGTCCAGCTGTGCACCTGGACCAAGGTCGGACAGAACAAAAATTGCAAGCTGCAGGCCTTCCAAATTCGACAAAGAAGGCAAAGCGGCTCCATTGAAGATGTTGCGGCAACATTCGCAAGCGTGGGGTTTTGGATGGCCCCGTCGATTCTACTTAGTAACTTAGTAGTTTGTGGCCCTGGACAGTGTAAGGGTGGTGCCGGCTAACCTGCACGAAGACTGCGCTGTCAGGACAGAGGGTATGTCCCCAGAACTCTCATGCTTAAAGCCCGAATCCTAAAGTCCTAAAAAGCTTCTTGGAAGAGCCTCAAACTCACGAAGACCGAAACCAGCTGGGGCGTTCACCCATGCTGTCAGTGAAAACCCTCAAAACCCTCAGGGTTTAGGGTTTCGGGTTTAGGGTTTAGCCATCCTCAGCCTCAGCGCTAGCTCCTCTCTCGAAACGAAGGCCAAGTTGGTCCGAGGCACGGTATTTCCGCACGAGCCGGTGGATCTGCTGGTTGGTGCTCAGGGCCTGGCACCACCCTAAACCCTAAACCCTAAACCCTAAACCCAAAACCCTAAACCCTAAACCCCAAACCCTAACTCTCGGATCTCTCCCTGGCCTCGGCCGAACGCCGCTTCGTGTCCTCTGCATCCACATCCACCACCTGCCCAGACCACCTGGAGGATCTAAAAAGTAGATCCCCTAATTTGGGACCCCAACTACCTAAAGGGTACTTTATACGAACCCCTTAGGGGATCTATTTTTTGGATCCTCCCGGTGGTCTGGGTGAAGAAACGGCTCGAGTCGTGATGCGCACTGCAGCCCTCTGCAAGAGCCTGGACTGTGCAGGTGGCTACCCCAACATGCTTCCTCGGTTACCCGAAAGTTGCTGACGAATCATGCTGGCCTGCTTCGGATCCTGCAGAAGTGCAGAAACTACCTTCCAGGCTTGATCGCTTCTGAAGCGAAACTGACAAGCATCCCGGAACTCCGCTTTTATCGGTGTACCTTGCCTCAGTGCTGTTCGCTTGGCATGCCAAGTGCAGCGGCGTAAGGTAGCTCAAAGTTCCTCAGTGGCAAGACCAGATCAACCGTAGCTGCAAAATTCATCTCTGAGATGTGGACGCAAATTTGCGTCAGCTTGGTGTTCCAGCAAGAGCCGCACACAGCGCGGACCTGAGCCGTTCGACTCGAGCCATCGCATCTTCTCGCACTTCGCCAGCAACCCGTGGGCGTCCGGCGCGAGCACTCGCAAGCGTAGTGCAGAGCACTGCGCCCCTGTCATCACCCGATTAAAAAGGCTCAGACCGGAGTCGGACGCGATCTGACGCTCATGTGCATCGCTGAGTGAGGCCCCGGCAAGCTGTGTGCGGCCATCGACCTCGGCCTGTAGTGCACTCCAGCACTCTCCCGCACTCCGCACTCCCGGCAGTGAAAAAGGCTCTGAAACCCCCCACCCCCCGGTTTGGGCGCCTTTGTCCGGATGCACCACCTCACTTGGAGGATCATGGGACTTAGTAAGTATGGTTATAAGTCCCCTAATTGGGGTTATAATTACAGTTACCTTAGTTATAACCCTACTTACTAAGTCCCATGATCCTTTAAGCAGCTCCGGAACTCGTCTCACAGAACCCGATTTCCCGAAGATCTCAGGTCCCCGCAGCAGCACCTCAGCCTGCCCGGCACTCGCCGCACCTCGCGAAGAACCCCGGACGAGCCGTGGGCTCAACAAAAGAACCCTAAACCCAAACCCTAAACCCTAAACCCTAAACCCTAAACCCTATAAACCCTAAACCCTAAACCCTTCCTAAGCCCATGGGGCACTCTTGGAGAGCCAAACTCTCGCTCTGGGCCTCAGGAACACTCTGGGCATCTCTGGGCCCCGTGCGATGAAGGCTTGTGATGCCAGAGCCAGCTTCCTTGATGTTGGGGTTCAGCCCTTCGGTGGCCATGAGCCTCAGAATTGCAGAAGCACAGAACATCTCAAAGACGACGGTCTTTTCTGTTCCGACCGACCCCGAGGATGCTCAGGCAGCCACTCCACGACTTGGTTCCAGTCGATCTGAGGGTTTCAGGCTTGAAGATCATTGTTTCCGAGCTCGGCTGAAGCAGGAGTCTGGAAGCCCTTGACACTTTCCATCGCTACGTGTGCCTCGACTTCCCGCATTAGCCATTGCAGTTGGCTTTGTCGCTCTCGCCGGTTCTCCTGCGTCAGGAACAGGTCGGGAAAAGGAAGAAATGCCATCCTTGCCGCCGCGGCTGGACACCTGCTTTCCCAATTTAAGCTTGGTTGTTCTGACTCCTCTTCATGTGGGTATTCCTGTTGCTTGTCTTATGATTGCTGCTATCTTGCCACTCTGCGATGGCTTGCTGCTGCTCTCGCTCTCACGACAACACCGGGCCTGCTTCAGGATTCAGGGCCGGCTTGGTATCGGCTTGGTACAACGCAGTCCCGACTGTGGCGACTGCGGCTGCCCTGCTGAGCTCAAGCCACTCAGGCCTTTGGCTTGCTTGCATGACCCCTAGCCGGCCCTAGCCCCTAAACCCTAAACCTTGGGCAAACCCGAAGGACCTTCAACAGACATCCCAGCGCCAGCGCCCTCTCCTCCTTCTTCTCCTGCCTCTTCAAGGCGAGGATGGACACAACGTCCGAGCCATCTTCGGGCTTCTCCGGCATGGCAAAAGTTTGTGAAAGCCGGTGGTTGGGTAAAAACGGCCTGAAGACGGCTAGGCAAATTTTCCCCAGCTCTGGGTTTATGCAGTTTCAGGTTGGCTGAAGGGAGCTTGCCAGTGACAGGCGACTGGAAAGACCTCATTATATCCCGTTGCTGGGATGCTCTGGAGCTCTGTTGTCATGCGGCCCCATTGCCATAGCTACTTCCAGCAGACTCGGCATCACGGCGGGGCAGCAGAAGTCGTTGTCACATGTCAGGTCCAGCAATGCACTGGCAATTTCAAGGAAAGCATCGAGGGCAACGACGAAGGAAAGCTGAAAGGCCGAAACTGCCCTGGCTGCGCGGGGCACGCATCGAAGTACCTGAGCAGAAACGGAAGTCAAGAAGCACCTTGCATGCGAATCGTCTCGGGTGTCTTCGGCCCCTTAAGGGTGTCACCGGGTGAAGACCCGCCAAAGCTCGGAGCCCGCAGAGATCGCCTGCAGGCAGAGGAACTTTTTGTTTGCCCCCTTCCGCGGGCAAAAACGCAGCAAAGAACTCGGGGCTCTGCCTCGGGGCCCTCTGGCCGGCTGAAAAACATGTACGGGCTGAAGAATTCGGGCGATTCCCCGTAGACCTGCCGAGTTTTTCAGGCCTCTGTCGGGAGGTCCGGGGGCAGATTTCCGTTAAACAACAGGTTCCTTCGGATCTGCAGCACTTTTACAATATCCAGTGAAGCGTGGCCGCGTTTTGCCCCAAGCTTGCCTTGCCGCCAGGAGCGCTGCGAAAAGCCTCGAAGTCGTCGTAGATGGAACGGACGAAGGGTGCGATTCGCTCCTGTCCCAGGGTGCAGAAAGCACGAGAGGGAAGTCGATTCAGTCCGCTTGAGGCTCTTTATTCCTTGTTCCATCTGGCTCGTATGAACAGCGCCGCAGTGTGCTAGGAGTTGGTTCAGATTTCTCGTGCTGCTTTGACGACCTGTTCGAAGAAGGCCACAGAGCTGCCCAGAGACTCCAATATCCCTTAATTAAGGTATATACCTTAAATCATATTAAGGAATATTGGAGTTTCTGGGTGTAACTCGACAACACTCCGGCGCCTCAATATGTCCCGACTCTGGCAGCATCGGCGCCCAGTCCACTCCAAACAGCTGGCGCTTGTGGGAACTCAGTGTGCAGCTTGGACAGACTAGCGTCCTATGTGATCTATATATCCATTTCAGCCACTCGGCTGGGAGTTCTAGAGGAATAGTGTGCGAAGACAGATAAGCAAAACCGGTAAGTAACGAGAATGCAACGACACGAAGGACCAAACCATGAAACCGTCGTGGACACTAACACAAAACAGCTGCATCGAAAAGCCTAAAGCCTGAGAAACCCAAAGCCTGAAAGACCTATTCAGCCCCAAAAGCCAAGCCCAAATCTCGATACCCCTACTTGGAGGCCCAGGGGACT